TGAATACTTTCGATATTGTCGAATAATAGAAGTTAAATAATTTATCTTCACTAAAAGGGAAATGCTCTTTTCTTACCTCTTATGCCAATAGTGCTGACCGTCATTCATTCTCTACCTTCCCATAGTTCATTCTAACACCCCCCCCCCCANAGACCAGTCCTCTCTCGCCGTCTAATAAACTGTTAGGTGTGTGTGTGTGTATGTGTTGTTTTCAGGGACAAATCGATTCTGGCACACAAGTGTGCCAAACGTGCACTCTGGAATGTGGTGCCCTGTTTGCGAAACCGTTTTCTCCCCTTATCCCAGCTGGTTTCCTTTTTCAGTCAAATATCACTTCCGTGCAGATATGGAATCCAATGTAGTGTGATGATGGTGTATTCCCTTTTTTTACATACGCTATCTATGCGCCTGTCAACATTCGGATAGTAACGTGGTTGCACGACTTGCATTATTCTGTCTGGTGTCATCAGTGGCCACCGGAGACTGATCGATCAATTCCCACACTTACACCAAGACACGGTTTTCTTTTGCGGTAATTCTCTCTCTCTCTCTCTCGTATATATCAAGTCAAATATAAACCGATGTGACTGGACCAGATACCATCAAGCTAGTTGAAGCCCCTTCTTTTCTATTTCTGATGTACTTCTGAATAAAACCTTTTATTTTCTGCTCTGGTCGCTCGTTTCTGCAGTGCCTACTATTAAATGTGTCTCAGCTCAAGGTCTGTGGGAAAACACTTCTTCCGATCGACACAATCCATCCGGATTTGACGTGCTTTTCTTCCTGTACACATGATTATGCTCATTTCAATAGTCATTCTCATCTGTTTTGTTCCCCTCCCCTTCCACCGTCCTTTCCCCTCTGTCCTACGCCACTACTGTTCGCCCAGTCATACATTTGTACCGATACTACCCAAATGTTTGATCGAGTATTTGAATGCGCCCACTCCATTCCTGTACGGGATTCACACCGACTATCGGCATTTGCTCCCTGACTTGGTAAGTGTGTCTGTGCGTGTGTGTTTCTCACGCTTACTCGTCACATTGCGTGAAAGTGTGTATCGGTTATCGTTTCCTCGTTTGTGTAGAGGTCATCCACGCCTACCCCTGTATTGTCGCCCACAATACAGCGAGAGTTGAATGCACAATCTTGTTTACTAATCGGCTGTTCGGTATTTCCATACTTGAGAAGCCCACATTCGGACCGAGCGATTGACGGACGCTTGCTATCAGGTTGTGATCAGAAATCGTTAGCTGAAATGTAATCATGAGAANAGAACAGAAGATAGCAAACAAGCTCGTTTTCGGTGCTACCCCAAGTGGCTAAATACAGCACAATTTATAACATCCGTCTCCACATCCCACACCTCTTGTGTGCCCAGAAACCGTTTGTGAGAACATAGGTCGTACCATGGCCATCCACTAACAATCTGGTGACGTAACCTCCGTTTTTGATCAACCACTCATTCACCTATCCACCCATTCACATCCACTCTCATTTTCCACGCACGCACACTCACGAACATCAATTAGCACAAGTCCATCATCTCTCCTTAAACTCTGATCTCCTTTGCAGATATTTGTCTCCTCTGCCCGCCTGTTTGAATCTATCATAAATTGCTCTGTATTCAGCTAGTTGAGGTAGCATCAAAAACAAGGTTGTTTGCTATTTTGTGTTCTCGTGACTACTCAAACGGGAATAATTTCACATAAAGTGTAATCACTTACGCGTACGACGTGAATAGGTTCAACCATGCGGTTTTCATTCCACTACATATATTTGTATGTTTATAACTGACTTGCGAGCAAGCATGGTGTCACTGCCAAAACAATAATAATAACTGTAACAGGGAATGGGAGGATTTGGATACAGAACCGAGTGAAATGGAGGTTAAACAGTTACAATGGATAAAAGTAGACAACAAGAATGACAACACTATTCTTGTGTTTCACGGTACACTTTTTGATATTTTTGTGATAGCATATCCTTTTTGGGAGGCACAGGATTTCTGCAGGCAGACTGTATAGCATTCGCGCCACTGACTTCTATTCTGAGCCATACCTCTTAGCGTCTCCAACCCACGAAAATCATCATCCCTTGGGCCCCAACCTGGAAGGCGGGTTGTATCAGTCGAAACCGAAGCTTCAGTTTCAGTAGGAGCTCGTTTCTACGTGCAAAGAGAGCACAAAAACGTATTCGATGGACAGGTAATACGCAATACGTGACCAAGCCATCGGAGGCAGTGTACAGCGATTATTTCTGTTTGAGAACAACTATTCATACCCAGCACACAACGATGAATCTCGTCATTACTCACCCGGTGTTCCCACCAGACACGAGCAATACTGCGGAGACACTGGGGGGTCGAATACAGAAAGTCGATTAGCATCTTACGCTCGGAGAGGCCAGTTCCTTTAATGGACAGTCGGATATCACGGTGACGCCACAGGTGTCGCAGGTTAGCAAAAGTGGCTCTAGGTTTCACCATTGTTGATGTGATCTCCCAAACACCACCACCAGCTGAGATCAAGCTCCCAATGTACCTAATGCTCTCAACCACTTCCAGCTGATCATCACAGAGAGTGAGTGTAGGCACAGGCTCCTGCCAGTCTTGAACAGGTAATTTACATTTGGACGGCGCAAAGCACATACCATATCTGGATATCTCGATCGTGAGGCGGTTCAAAACGTCTTGGACTGCCTGTGTGTTGTCACCCAGCAAGGCGATGTCATATTCTAAGTCAAGAACTCTGTTCCCTTGGAGGCATTTCATCCGACATCCACCTTACATCATTACTCTCCATTGTAATTGTTTTGAGATATTGTATTTACGCTCGCGCTCCACTTTCTAGTAGGTTTTGACGTGTATTCAGCCCCACCCTCGCCCCCGTGACTTTGTTGCAAACAATGCAGTAATGTGACTTTGTTTCTAGTGCACACTACTCATCAATTATGACGAGTTTTGAGAATGATAAATGCAAACGAGTTAAACAGTGTATAACTCAAAAACACTTCACTGAAGTTTCTAGTTTCCAAGACAACTGTAAACAAAGATGAGAATTTTTATTGTCAATCGATACCGGGTATAGGAGGCCTACTTATTCATGAGCTTAACAACCCACTTCTCTATTGAATAAGTTATTCTTTCCTGCTTTCTCTCTCGTTCTCGGTATCTTGTGCTAGAATGACATTTTTGCCATAAAAAGTTGACGCCCAATTGTATATCATTTTGACTTCGCAATATTCTCACGTATTTTGTTTAACTCTGAGAATTACGTGGTAGTATTACACTTATTAGGCTAAACGTATTATTGTGCTTCGTGGTTTGAATAATTCACCTGATTGTGCTTCGTTCAATTCGAATTTCGTCCACACATTTCCTCTCGACTCTTTGATCATCACATTGTGTTTTGTTTTTCCGAATTCTTTCTCTACCCCACCCCAACTCCCGTCCTTGCAGTACGATGTTTTTGTGGTCGATTTGGACGGTGGCAGTGTCGCCTGTCCCGAGAACCTCCCCGTTCCACAGCTGCCCGAACCGTATTTCAACGAGGTCGTGGAAAGCCTATTTCAGGTAATCTCGACCTCGCGTGTGCGCGCATATGTTTCACTGCTTTGTCATCACGATTTGCACATCTGGTGTCCATCCGTCCGTCTCTGTGTGTTGCTAACCCCGGTTCGCCACTCTCAAATGCACTGGGGTCGTTTGGGCTTACGTTTTCCACTGGACTGTGACACAGTTGATCCGGTTGTATTTGTTATTCTTGCGACCATTTTTGTGGATTGTCTACATTCATTCACTCGAGAACACACTTGATTCCAATGCGCTTTGACGTGCACGGTATAAGCAAACTGTGAGAAAGTTCAACGTAGTCTATCTGTACGGGAACAAGATTCCAGAGCTGTGGACGCACTTCTGTCTCTGTTTCAGTGCAGATAGCTGAATCCGCGGAGTTGACAGCCACGAATGATCAACCACAGTTCAGTTCACAATTTTCTTTTAGCGTGAACATGTGCGTCTGCGTTGAAGAATATTCCCCACTCACTGGTAGCGATTACCTGTAAATAACTATGTACATTTCCAGATAGCGCATGGCTGGCTGCAGTTCACTCTTTTCCGGAAAGTAGTGAGCTTTAAGATTGTATATTCAGTACATGAAGTAAAGGTATTTTGTTACTAGCACACATACGCATATATATATATATATATATCCAAGATTCAAATTCAAATTTTTATGTGTAAATCACAAAGCTGATATTTATTTAATCCCATAGGGTCTGTACACACTGAGTTCGGTTGGTAGTACAATTGAATAGCAAATTCTGACGTTCATTCACGGGTACTGAATAGTCAGGTGATTCAATGCTTCATCCAGTTGTGACTTGAATGAATCGACGGTTGGTGCACCAACAACTTGAGATGGAAGAGATTTCCAGGTGTTACACACTCTGTGGATGAAAGACTAATGCCTGCAGTCTAGCCAGCTCTTTTGGAGCAGAAGTTTAAGCGAATGTCCTCGGAGATGACCGTTCCTGGATAGCTCTAATAGAGTACTACACGGGCGGCCAGATTGATGTTGTATTTGATATATGAGCATCATGTCTCTCCGTATTCGACGGTAATCAGACGAATAGAGTCGGATTATATGTAGCCTTTCGCCGTAGGTCTTAGATTGTAACCCTTTGACCATTTTGGTTGCTGTTCTCTGCGGACGTTCGAGTGCCTTTTGTTCGCGATTCAGCCATGGATTCCAAGCCNAAGCCTGTATAGCATACTCGGTGTGTGGTCTAGTGTATGCTGATAATAAACGGGGCAAAAGGTCTGTTTCGAATGATCCAAAACACGTTTTAGCAATCCAACGTGTTTTATAGCCTTCAAAGATGCTCTTACGCAATGTGTAAAACATCCTAGATCTTCACAAACGATAACTATATATATATATTTATAATACAATAAGTAGTATATGAATGACTGGACAAAATTTCCCTGGAAGCACACGACTGGTTTCGCAGTTCTTGCCGCGTGCGTATCCGGTATTCTTTTCATTTATCTTTTCATTCATAAACTTGTACCCAGGAAATGTATTTTCGTCCCCAAAACCTCAACACTGGGTCAGTTTGTTTGGGTAGATCTTTCAGAACCAGTCCATTTGAGAATCGCTACAATGATTTAATGTTTTGTAGGTGGGTTAGAAGCTACTAACAGCAACAAACATGACTTCAACGTCCTCTCATCTAATCTGACAAAACGGTCTCACTGTCCTCTGCTTGTCCATTTTAGTCACCGACACTTTAGCAACCATAGCTTCGTGTGATGGTCATTTATGGACCGGGATAATCATCATTTGTCTAGGGTATTACCGTTCCATAACTGTATTGTTATACCTGTCCGGCTCGTATCATCGCATTCCACATGCAGCAAGCGATAATATCACATTGTCCCGAATGGGGAGCGAGCGAGCGACCAAGAGGGAAATAAGAGGTTCGTTTGTGTGTATGTGTGTGTGTGGACAGTTCGCGTCGCTTGCATTTTTATCCCAAATCGATGCCTGTTCCCACTACTCTTTCTGTGCTCGTTAACCGCATGGGTGCATTCCAATGCCTCTGTCTTATTCTACTGTTTATCACCACTGCCGAAACATTTCACTAAATAATAAACTTATAAATCTTTTACTTCCTTTTTCGTTTATTGATTAGAGAACGGTAGAGTTTCAGTTCCAGTTTGTACAACCATTAATCGTGCACTTTTGTGTGCAGGTTTTCATTGCTGTCTCGTTTGGCTGCCCATTTGGATGAAGCAGTACTGGAAAGTTGAAAGTGGAGTTGAGGAGAAAATGGAGAATTTCAGTGAACTAAGTTTGCAAGGAAATTGAGAAGATACACGAACACCACTGTTGGCGACACTTCGCCATTTCGTTCAGTGTCTCTAACCCCGGGTGACCATGCTTTCGGGGTCCCCATCCAGGAAGCCTGACGTAACCTATGTGGCCGAATTTCCTGGTTTAGGGTATTCATACCCTCGTGCCAGGTCTTAGCTTTATTCCATCCACTACTTGCCTTGGTGAACATCGCTCACCGTGGCAACCTATTTGGTGACGTGCGTAATACATGTCCCAACAAACGTAATCTACGGAGGTTGACCATTTTCTCCAGTTGACGACTGCGGTTACCTAAAACTCTACGCCTAATCTCAGCATTGCTCGTCCAGCTGCCTCACCAAATTCGTGCAGTACGACGTAGACAGCGGTGTTTAATCACCGACAGTTTATCTTTATCCTGTTTTAACGGCCAAGTTTCTGTGCCGTATATCAGAACTGGCCGAACTGTCACGGCATACACTCGACCCTTCACAGACAGCCGGATGTGGTGACGGCGCCACATATTTCTCAGGGTACAATAGACGCAGGAGGAAGGCCGCGTCCGTACAAAGGCTGCCTGGGGATATGCAGATAATAAGATGATCTGGGGGACGAGGTTCCAACTCAGGACCTCGAGGTGGTTGTTTTCATTACCTTGCCACTGAACCACCATTGCCTAATGACTTCATGCACTTCAATTATGATATGTTTGTATTAATATTATCTGGTCCTCGATTAGCTTTACTCTTTCATTCGCATTTTCTAATTAGGCCTTGATGTATCACTTCATTTCACCCGTAAATCCGTTTGCTTTTACCTCATTATTTCATTGATCCCTCACACCTCATTACTCTCATTCATCTATGTACTGATAGTAATCCGAATATTTTACCTTCTACAATGATGTCTATACCCTTGCTAAATATATGTTTACGCATGCCTACTCACACATGTATCGTGCCATTCCCAAAATCCTTTCCTTCCCCCCCCCCTGACACGCACCCGGCGAACGGACTTGTCACCGTTTCACCGATCGTTTGCGTCACGGAATGCCCGTGCATATGACATCAGATTCTCAGCCCGGAATTGCTCACAGCGGATCATGTCTATCCACCGAAACCGCAAAATCCCAGTCGTGATCTGGTCGTGCAAGATAAACAACTTCGGGCCGTGTTCATTCGGCTATTCGCTTCACTGTTCGCCGGCTATCGATCGTGTCTGAGTATCACACGAATTCACCCCCAGCCGGTGATTCATTTCAACCAGGTTCGTTCTCCCAATCCCCGCCCACCCTTGTGTGCTCACTCCGAACTGATCGGTTTGAGCCGGAACGGGACTTTTCGATTCTCAATCGGACTGCAATATGTGGGATGCTTTTTTGTATTTTGTTTTTAGCTCGCGCGCGCGTTGTCGCTCTCCTCACCCTCATCTCACGTGACAGACATGGATTGATCGGAAAGTGCGTTTGATTCCCCGAGGAAAGTGCGTTCACCATCCACCGCGCTTCCGCGTAGGTCTTGAAAAGCCGAACTGGGACACACTGCACTGCTCAAATCTCTCGACTAAATTGTGTGACCAATTGATTGAACAATTGTTGTGTGGAAGAGCCCCATCAATAGCCGAAGCGACGGAGCAGTTCCTGCATTCGGTCGGATGCGGCAGATGCACTCAAAACCTCGACTGGTGTATATACCCTTTCGAGATCACTTTGGGCTATGATTTTGTAGCTGAACGTGAACTGAACTATCGCGGTGGTCATCACTCAATGTTTGCCGTGACCTAGCACTGTTGGTCGTTCCTCATAATGTCAGGCAGGCTATTAGATATCATCAGTTGGATCCATAAGTAGGCTCGGTGTTGTAAGTCTGCGTGTTCCCGCGGTTGATGTTTGTGACTGCAAGTCGCATTATCCCAGTCACGCTCTCTGTATACTGGGCTATATTTAAACGCGTTGTTTGACAGTGACAGACCGTTCAGATTGGTTCAGTAATGGTCAATAAGTCTTGACTCATTTAAGTTCGGTCCTCACCTCTGTCCTCTTTCATCCGCCACCCCCGTCTCCTTAAGCATCTTGTTGATCGTTAAATCAAAATGACCTTTCCAAGCGGATGCTCATCTGCCGGCACAAGATCTGGGGTCAGAGACCACGCATTGATTTATGCGTGTTGGCACTGTTCCAAATCAGATTACACTCGTAATCAGCACACCGCACCCGTTGCTCCGGACATGTCGCCAAGGGATCGATCGATCGAGGATGGCCTGTTCGTTCGTTTGGCCGCACAACCCTCCTAGCTTAATCATAGAAATTTGTTCAATCAATCGGGCAATAGGTTTTCCTGCAGGTACCGATCCATACACACGACATTCAAACTGATGAAGACTGCATATTCCGTGCTTCTTTGTGTGTGTGTGTGTGTGCACTGTGCGCATAGTCTTACGACTATAACAGTTAATGAATGAAACACACGTTCAGGAGCGGACTATCGAATCACATCCCATCCCCTTTTACCTGTCTCTCTCACGGTGTATGTTGCGGTCTTCTGATTGTCATCCAAATAGCATCCAGGGTTGTGAATTCGGTATATGGACACACACGCAAACGTATATACTTGGCGAGAAATTGTGATTGGTTTTTCTGTTCCCTAACCAATTGTGCACCGATCGGCCCTGGAATCACTGGTTCACCAGAGAACCATGCGTCCCTCAACTGTTCTGTACTGATTGTCACGGTGTTCCGTTTCGAGTTGACAAAATGCGATTCACAATTTGTGGTCTTATTCTCTCTCTCTCTCTCTCACTCCGCTTTTGCAATTGTCAGTCAGGCGGGCGGGGGCCTCATAGTTCAGTAGGTAAAATGTCGGTCGATGGGATCTACTTTGGTAGGGCTTATTGTCTGACTGACAGGACGAATGGGAATTAGTGATTTGTTCGTTTCAGTCGAGTTCAGAAATTTGGAAAAAAATATTATCCATTTTGCTGTAGCAATGATAACCGTGATTCTATCAGTCAGATTGTACAAAACAGTTGACTTACTTTCATCAAATGTGATTACGGTGTATGTCATCTATCACAGTAAGAACCTTTTGAATGCACGTCATCAGGGGACAAATTCGCTATCACATCGAATTCAAAAGGAATAGGCTTCACTGGTTAGGACACGGTTTTGCATGTCTAACGGTCTACCGCCTACCGCATCGCACCTTGCTTCCAGTTGTCACTCCGGGTTGAAGAAAACCACGTGGAGGTCCGCAGATGACGTGGAGATGGGGCATGAAGAAATGCACGGAGCTATTAGATAGAGTAGATGTCTTCCAGGTTGGGGTCGAAAAAAGTTCTGTAACCGGGTCAGTTGGAGACACGGAAGGACATGATGCAAACCGACAGCAATGATGTTCATGTTTTCACTTCTGATCAGATCAGAATGTTTCAAAAAGTATGTATGTGCGGTTGAGCTGTGTATCCCATTTGTTGACAATAGATGTTTGCCTTCTTCCTTTTGTCTAAGTGTAGGCCTAATCCCTTACAACCTTACACATTGCGGTGTACCCTGTATGCATTATGCATGTGGAACCGATCAATCAATTTCGCTTCACTGCTGTATTCCTCTGTGCGATGTAGATGCTGAAGCTGATAATGTCATCGAGGTTGATGGCCCGGTTGATACCGCATTTCTCTCTCTCTCTGATTGAGTTCAAAATAGTCGTAGACTACAATAATTCCTAATCCAAAGAATTTAAGATATCATTACAAGTTTTCAATTTAATTCCATCCATTTATTGTTGCTAGTCTCCTCGCCTGTTTCCTCCAAATTCGCATTAAATGGATGTTTATTTTTTCCATCTCTCATCCGACTTTTCTGTGACATTCAAATCCAAGTTTGTTTCGCAGATGCTAGAGAGGGTGTGCGTTAGAGCGAGAGCGCGCGCGATCCATCATACACACATATTCATAAACCCCTTTCCACCTGTATCCTGAGGAACCGCTCATTTTTGCTCTCATTCGTTTTGTCCTCGCCCTCCTGCTCCTTCTGCGAAGTCTCTCTTCCTCATGCTCCGAACAATCTCCTCACACAATGAGTTCTTCGAGCGTTTATTATCCAGTATGCGATTTCAACAATTCATTCTGGAACGGGGACCACCGTTTCGAGTGTGTGACGTGTTTGATGAGGTCTACGATGNCTGATGGGCACGGAAGAGGAAGATGAGCCAAGTCCATCTGGAGCCTTCCGGCCTGCCATTGATGAAAGATTGAGCCAGAAATTGTTGGAGAATGTAAGTTCACTCCTTTCCTGCTTCGAACATACTTGCAATCCTCTATTTTTTTTGCCATACCAACAATTTGCATGCATGCATTGCATAAGCGTTGTTTTCTCCCTCTGTGAGTGCCATTTGGAACGTGATTTTTTCACTGTTCTGTCGATCGGAATTGGAATTCAAGGAACTGATCAAATAGCCATCGCAATGCATTCTGACTTTCAATGTCCCCCCCCCCGCTTTCCACTCAGTCACCACATTCTTGTCCGTGAACTGTTTTTTTCTCTTTCTCTTTTCTTCTTTTTACATCGTCGGTCAATTTCGCTGTTGAGCGTCCGTTCTTGTGCTCAGATCGATCTGTATCGATCCACCTATCCGGGCTCTTCCGAATGTGCATTGAAATGAAATTAATTGATACTGTTTTTGAGCGATAAGAATGCCGGACTAAAACCCACACAGAAAGAGGTCCGGGGGGGGGGGTGTCGGTGCATGCGTGTGTGGTTGCGAAAACAGAAGCAGTGGTTGTATCAAATGCCAGTCATCCTGTTGTATGAAAACCTCACCTGCTACACGACTGTCTGTTTTGGTTCCATCCGTTTTGTGCGCAAATGTCCATGGCCTCTTCAACTGGGTGATTCTATGATCCGTTCTGTCTACTTCTTTGCATAAAAATGATTTCCACCCACAGACCAATTAGTCATTTGGGAAAGGAACATGTATGGCAATAGCATATTTTTAGTGTGAGCTGAATTGTCTGATTTCGGTAGCATACAATGGGATGGTTTAAATTGGCACATTCATGATGTCATGAGTTCGAGTCCCACCACCCTCATTGTCCCCATTTCTGTATCTCTTTAGACAGTCTCTGTATGACCGCGACCCACATCCTGAAAGTTGATTTTACATATCTATACTCTGAAAATAAGATGGGAAGCAAAATCATTTGGGATTTTATTTTTATGAGCGATTATACTTTTCACTCTTCTGTGCTGGATTTTCTGGCAGCTCATGGTTTCGGTGGTTCCTAGCGAGCATACTTTCCCATCATGAAATTATGAAGTCCCTCAATCAACATTCTTATTCTGTTTCGAGATTCTATCAATCTTTCACATGCCTTGTCATTTCATGCCATATGTGGCATCTAACGAACGAACGAACGAACAAACTCAGCTGTGGTATGAGGTCATCCGGCTTGCTGTTCGTATGATTCGTTCATATGATCGATCACGTGACAGCTCCGAGTATGCGTTCATGTGTGAATCAATTGAACCCAAATCCCCCCTCCCCCTGGTATTGAAATCACTTGAATGGGTTCCGTCGAATTGTTTGTTGACCAACGAAGCACGTAGCTGTTTGTGACATTTAGTAAACACTTTTTTTCTTATCTACCTGTTGCACCCGGAATCCGAATACGGTCTTTTTCGTAAACGCGTGAACAAAGTTCTGCTCGAACTTGTATGGTGTTTGTCATTATACATATGTTAGAAGAAACAATAATTGATTCTGCTTTAAATAATCCGTTATGCTCTAAATATGGCTATCCTATCTAGCAGATGAAATACGTTGAAAATAATTCGAAAATTCCTCACAAGCATTTTCTCTACACTCTTCAATTTCCTACTAGCTCATAGATTTTTACCAAGTGCCAGTGATAATGTCAAATGCGATATCCTTTGATCTGACCAAACATTGATTAAGGCATTCGGTTTTTTGTGGCTCGTAATCAGAGATGAACCTGATAAACCTCACTGTTAGCAAAGCTCCAGTGTTCACTTGATCTAGGTCCCAGACACCAGTACTCGTTGTCAGATTAACACTCACTATCGACCTACTTACTCAGTATCGTTTTTTATTTATCGTAACCACTTTCAGTCTCAAGATTGAACTTGTTGCTCTGCCTCACTACTGAACAGACCTTGATAATCGTACAATTCTCCCCGTCCGTTGTGCAACACACACACACACTATGGAGTTTACAGATGAAATGTATAACCAGTTCCATGAACTTTTGCTGGTAAAACATTGCTTTCCGCGAGTCCCCCACTGCCATTCCCCGTTTTCAATCGGTGAGATGAACAGAACGAATAAGTGTGTTCGAAAGTGATGTTTGAATTGTTTTTTTTTTTTTACTGCATAAATTGTGTTTTTATGATTGATCCGTGTAAGCATTTTGTTTTGCATACCGGACAATCTGATTGGGTCAAGTTTATATATAAATGCCTGTGATTCCTTTTCGAAATGTGCTTTATGTCCGGTACACTTAAAAATATATTGAGAGAACTTCCTGAAGAACCGATTTTTAACACCTACAAATTGCCTTTTTGGATGATTTCTCAAATTTCTAAGTTTCTGGTCTGTTTTCTGTGATAGGTATCAACCTTAGGTGTGAAATATATACCTAACTCATTCGCTGGAAATCGATACTCGGACTCAGTAACCTGTGAAAGGTCATTTTAAATTTTCCATTGCTGGCTGACGCAG